TTCACTGCAACCTCCACCTCCACCTCCACCTCCCAGGTTCAAGTGGTTCTCCTGCCTCAGCCTCCTGAATAGCTGAGATTACAGCTGTCTGCCACCATGCCTGGCTAATTTTTGTATTTTTAGTAGAGATGGGGTTTCACCATGTTGCCCAGTCTGGTCTCGAACTTTTGACCTCAAATGATCCACCCTCCTTGGCCTCCCAAAGTCTGGGATTACAGGTGTGAGCCACTGTGACTGCAGAGGTTCATAGATTCTAACAAATATATCACTGTGGCACAGGATGTAGACAGCAAGGGAGGTTGTGCAGGGGGGTAGAGGGGGAGGGGGTATAGGAGAACTCTGTATTTTCCACTCAACTTTGCTATAAACCTAAAACTGCTCTAAACAAATTGAGCTGTTATCCCACTATTCAAGAGGCTAAGGTAGAAGGATCACTTGAGTCCAGCAGTTTGCTGGGCAGCAGAGTGAGACCCTGTCTACAAAAAATTTAAAAATTAGCCAAATGGCTGGGCACAATGGCTCACACCTGTAATCCCAGCACTTTTGGAGGCTGAGGTGGGTGGATCACCTGAGGTCAGGAGTTTGAGACCAGCCTGACCAATATGGTGAAACCCCATCTCTCCTAAAAATAAAAAAATTAGCCAGGCATGGTGATATGTACCTGTAATCCCAGCTACTCAGAAGGCTGAAGCAGGAGAATTGCTTGAACCCGGGACGCTGAGGTTGCAGTGAGCCGAGATCACACCACTGCACTCCAGCCTGGGTGACAGAGCCAGACTCCGCGGGAGCCTATAGTCCCAGCTCCTAGGGAGGTTGAGGTGGGAGGACCAGTTGAGGCCGGGAAGTCAAGGTTGCAGTGAGCTGTAATAGCACGACTATACTCCAGTGTGAGTGACAGAGCGAGACTCAGTCCTCACCCCCATAAAAAGAAGTCCTTTTGGGGGATATTTAACTGCCTTTCACAAATGTGTCTGACTTATAATCTATCTCACCATCTCAAGTCACACGGGTTAAGTGGAAACACTTTGCCAAACACCAGAATAACAATAATACTTTTTTTTTTT